AGGGAAAAGGAGGGACTTAGAACTCACATTTCATTTATTACAAAAAAATTTTTGACCTATTTTAAATACAGACAATATGTGTTTGTGAAACACTGATGCCCCCGTATGGCAACTTATAGCGAAGGTTAAACTTTCTCAAATGCAAATCATATATGATGGTACCCAAAGTAAGGTCTTGTACCGAGGAATATACCTGTGAAATATGAAAGCTCTAACAGCAACCATTGAAAAGATATGGAAAAGGTTAAAGTTTTTCAAAAGTAGGTCAAACATCAATGCCACGGTCAAAGGGTCAAAGTTATTGGTATCCAAAGGAAGATCTTGTCACAAGGATAGTACATATGAAGTATGAAAGCCCTAGAAGCAACTGTTCAAAAGAAAAAATGGCAAAGGTTAAAGTTTTCTTTCAAAACTCCAAGGTCAAGGTCAAAGGGTCAAAGTTGTTGGTATCCAAAGGAAGGTCTTGTCACAAGGATTACACATGTGAAGTATGAAAGCCCTAGCACCAAGCATTCAAAAGCTATAGCCAATGTTAAAGTTTTTCAAACGTAGGTCAAACTCCAAGGTCAAGGTCAAAGGGTCAAAGTCGTTGGTATCCAAAGGAAGGTTTGTCACAAGGATTACATATGTGAAGTATGAAAGCCCTAGCACCAACCGTTCAAAAGTTATGGCCAAGGTTAAAGTTGGGAAAAATTTTGTAAAACTGGGTCAAACTCCAAGGTCAAATAGTCAAAAGATAAAATATGATGGTACCCAAAGAAAGGTCTTGTCACAAGAAATACACATGTGAAATATGAAAGCCATAGCTTCAACCAATCAAAAGTTATAAGCAATGTTAAAGTTTTTGCGGACAAACAGACAGACAGACGGACGGACAGGGCAAAAACTATATACCCTCGAATCTTCGATACGGGAGCATAAAAAAATTAAAAAGAGTTTATATTATGATTTTTAAAAATTCAAAAGTTTCTCTTTTGCTAGGCAGAGACAATTTTTAGTTTTTAAATATTCAGTTAAGAATAATTTTATAACTCTGTGTAAATAAACGGTTTCCACTAGGTTTTGAATACTGCATTTTGACATACAGCAGCTGGCCATAAGTATGTTCCCAAAATGGCTGACGTTCTTCTTAGACCTGAATACATATCAAAAAGTAAAACCTAAATTTAATTGTAAGTAGCTGAATAAACTACCCTTTATGACTAGCACTTTGTGATGGTTCCTTTGGCTTTCAAAATAGCCCTAATTGTTTTGGGTAGACTTTGATATAAACTTCTTATATAGTGAAGAGGTAGAGAGGAACAGATTTCATGCACGATGCGTTCCAGGTCTGTTTTGTTTTTAATGTCATGTAAGCGTCTCTTCATCTGAATTTTTAGAACTATCCAAACATTTTCTATTACATAAATGTTTGGGCTCTGCAGGCCATGGTACATGTAGTACTGGAATATAGTTTTGCTTTTCCCAATTGTTACATACCTTATATACATGAAAAGGGGCATTATCCTCCTAAAAAATCCGTGCAACATTTCCCAAGGTTTTAGCAACAAAAGGCCTCAAATTGTTGTTAAGAGTTTCAATATAAACAAAAGAGTTCATATTGCCATCAATAGATGTAAGGGTCCCTACACCATTAATATTGTATGTTATGCAACCCCAGAATATCGCAGATATCACTACTTGTCTTTCCCTGTCCAAACGGATTCCCGTACATTCCCCTATCAAACGTTCATCAGATTTCCCCCAAACAAAGATTTTCTTATCCTCATCTATAACAACTTTTGTCTCGTCACTAAAAATCACTCTACTCCAATTATTCTGAACATTCCAATGCAACTTTTTGTCTACAAAAACCCATGCACCGAGAGCGATTCACATTTCTTATCGTAATCGTTCTGGAAACAAGATATCGTTTGTATTCACTTTCAAGTAATCTTCTTCTCACAGTCCCAGAGGATACTTTAACAATTGCGGAATTGTTAAATTTATTTGTGAGATCCTCTAATGTTTGCCGATGATTGCCCTGAACCATGCCAACGATTCGTCGTTTCGCCTTGTCGTCGAGTTTTCTCTGTCTGCCGCTTCGCAGTAAGTTTTCTGAATTTCCCCGCTCATAAAACCGCTTTAAAAATACTAAATATTTTCCGATTCAAGCCTGTAATTTCTGAGATTTTATAACTAGAATGACCGATGTTTTCATAAACTAATAATGATGTTTTGACATCTTGTGTCAATTCCTTTCCTCGCCGACCCATATCTCATAGCAGACGATAAACAATAAACCAAAAATTAGTTAAGGACGCTTATTTTAAAACCTCTACCACTAACTAAACTTTATATCCGGAGGCTTAGTTGGGAAAAAAATAAATGTGGTATTGCTATAAAATGTTTTCATATCAGAATTCTCAAAGTGATTGGAGAACGTCGGCCATTTTGGGAACATACTCTTGTCCAACTACTGTATGTTCATATGTCATGAGGAACGTAAACCGCAATTCACGTGACACTGCTACAGTTTGATTTATTTATAAATGTCAATTTATTTGATCAGTGATCATTATTGATTGATTTCCGAATTATAACTGAATGCTTGTACCATACTTTGCAGCTTTAGACGTTTACCTAAACCTTTTCTTATCAGCCATGCTGCAGTGAACAATTCGAAAGTAGCTTGTATGTGCGTGTTTCAGAATTCCGATTCCGACTGTTCATCTTGATTTTTAAAATTTTGTAATTGATCACAGAATGAAAGACCAACTTTTCATGACCTTTGTATTTATTATGTTTTCTGTGTTTTAGTTTAAACAATTCGCCATTAAATGTATGCATAAGAATGACCCTGAATTGAGGACTTCTCTGTACTTGACCTTAACTTTTTCTTTATTACCGAAGATTAACAAATCTAAAGTTGTTTTTTTTCTAAACGTGAGGTTTTTATGTAACAATAGTAAAGAATAGAAATAACATAACATTACCCTTTTCCTTGGAGTTGAACAGAGACTAGTTCACTTCATAAATAATCAAATTTCATAGCTATTATGACTCGGGACAATGAACCAGTTTACAGGAAGAAGAAGTAAATGAGCTGGGAAACAAACCCTGTATCGAATGTTATGAATGACACACTTTCTAAGGTAAGTTAATATGAATTAAAAAAAAAAAACATCAATTTTATGTCTGTCTTAACATTCAATGTACTATCTTTCAAATGTGTTTGTCTTATTTTGCCTTATGATTAATTTATGTTTCATATTTGCGCGATTATATCAAAACGAAAGTAGTTCGAAAATTCAAATAATAGTGTTTCCAAAAAACAAATTAAGATCTAGAGTTGTTCAGCAGGAAAGTTTAGTAAAAAAATTTCATCTTTGAGAACATGTAACTTGGAGAAGATAAGATTACATTAACAAAGATCAAATTCATAGTGAAAAATAAGATTTGGACAACTCAATTTTCAGTACACATACTCCTGATACAATTATCGATCACAGTAGAAAATACACAGCTGGTTTACAGTGTCATGGCAACTAAAAATAAAAAAGTATCTGAAATTTATTCAAAACGCGCCATTTTTCCTCCAGTTTCGGTAAAATTTCAATAGGATTTGTTACATAAAAATATAATATATTATGATGTTAAAATTGTAGTTTAAGACTTCTGTGAATGGTATTGTCTTGGTTAGTAAAAAAGGAATCCCTAAAACGTTTCTTTCATTTTGTTTGGATTTCTTTAAAACTAGGCTGGTAAAGAAAGACTAGAGCTCAATACTATCATTTAAGGTGAATGATGTTGTCATGGTAATTAAAGTAGAATAAATTCAAAAAATCCTTAAAAACTATTTATGCTATGCAACGGAAAATGTATTCCTCCATATATAAAATAAAAGTAAAGCAACCAGTTAAAAAGCATTTAAAGATTTTAAAATAGCATTACAACATAGGATTTACCAAATATTGCAGTTCAACCAATTACCGTTTTATTGTGCATTTTAACGCTTTTTATGTCCCCGTATTCAAAGATTTGGGGGTATATAGTTTTTGCCCTGTCTGTTCGTCCGTCTGTCCGTTTGTTTGTCTGTTAATCTATTTGTCCGCAAAAACTTTTACATTACCGTTAACTTTTAATTGGTTGTAGCCATGGCTTTAATATTTCACATGTGTATTCCTTGTGACAAGACCTTTTTTAGGTGTTAATATAATTGACCTCTTTACCTTGGACTGTAACCCATTTTTTGGCGAAAAAATTATCAAATTTATACCCTAGTCATAACTTTTGTACAGTTGGAGCTAGGGCTTTCACATATTTATTGATTGTGACATGACCCTTCCTGGTGTATAAATATTTTTGACAATTTGACCTTGACCTTAGAATTTGACCAACTTTTAAAAACTTTACCCTTGGCCTCAATTTTTGAAAAATTAGTACTAGATTTTCATATTTCACAGGTGCATCCCTTGTGACAAGAACTTCCTTGGAATACCAACAATTTTGACCTCGTTTTTGGAGAGTAGCCTATTTTTAAAGAAACTTTAACATTTACCATTACTTTTGAACAGTTGGTGCCAGGACATTTATATTTCAGATGCATATTTCTAATGACAAGTACTTTCCCTCGGTATCATTGAATTGACCCTTTGACCTTGACCTTGACGTTTGACCCACGTTTAAAGAAACCTTCGCCATAACTTTTGAACAGTTGGTTCTTGGGCTTTCATATTTTACAGGTATATTCATTAGTTCATGTTTGGAGTGTAACTTGCATTTGAGAAACTTAACCTTCATCATAGGCTGCCATACGGGGGCATCATTGTCTGACAAACACATCTTGTAAACATTTCTTTAAGATAACAATTACAGGTGTTACGTGGCAGTTAGATGCAGTTCTTATTTAAAGTATGATTATGATTTGTTTTATTATTAATCTGCTCAATTCCAATTACTTTCCGTTTTAGATAACTGGTTTCCTTTATGACATCAACTGTTATCCAACTGATTCACCAATTATTCTTGCTTTAGTACTTCTTATAGGTGAGAGTCATTTTACATAAGCATTTTTTATAAACATTTTTAAACTTCTATGGAGCTTATTTTTTCGTTTTAAATGCTTGATTCTGCTCATTAAATAGTAATGTATATTTTATTCTGAACATCTATACTAATTAGAAGCCCAACATCTTATCCATGGCACAAAGCATTTTATTGAGAGTAATTTTATCCCCCCCTTCTTTTCCTTGGAGCCTTGGGGAGACTGGCAGTCCAACAATTAGTCAAATGTATATACATTGTCATATTTTATGATATAAAAATGTTATATTTTTGTCTGCTCTATTATGCATATTCTTTATTAACCCCACGAAAAGAAAAAAAATATATATTTGACCTATCAAAAGTTTTGAAGTGTAAACTTGAAGATATACATGATCGTCATTTGACCAATGAATATAGTAAAAGTCGGGACCACTTACAGAATTGAGAAAATTTAACAGCGTAAAACGGGGGTAAAATGAAGTTTTTTTTTCTACAAAAGCCTGGCTCCCGGATCTTTTCCTACATTTTACTCAGTAGCCTAATCCTCTATTGGAAGATGATTGATGGTGTCCTGTAGATGTGCAATAAGTTTTCAGAATCTTCATTTTCACCCTGGGGGTCAAATGGGGTCAAAAATGATATTTTCTAACAACCCATGGTCTTCTGAACTCCCCTTCCATTTTACACAGCAGCCTAATCATCTTGTGCAAGATGATTGGTGGTGACCTGTAGATGTGCAATAAGATTTTGGAATTTTCATTCTCACCCTGGGGATCAAATAGGGGTCGAAAAATGATTTTTTATTTTAATACAAAAAGACCCTGATTCCCTGAACTCCTCTTACATTTTATGCAGTAGCCTAATCATCTTTTGATAGATGATTGGTGGTGTCCTGTAGATGTGCAATAAGGTTTTGAAATTTTCATCTTCACCCTGAGGGTTAAATGGGGGTCGAAAAATGATGTTTTTTATACAAAAAATACCCTGGTTCCCAGAACTTCTCAGACATTTTATGCAGTAGCCTAATCCTCTATTGGAAGATGATTGATGGTGTCCTGTAGATGTGCAATAAGGTTTTGAAATTTTCATTTTCACCCTAGGGGTCAAATGGGGATCGAAAATGATGTTTTTTGTACAAAGACACCTTGGTTCCAAGAATTCCTCTGATATTTTATGGAGTAGCATGATTATCTTTTGGAAGATAATTGGTGGTGTCCTGTAGATGTGCAATAAGGTTTTGAAATTTTCATCTTCACCCTGAGGGTTAAATGGGGGTCGAAAAATGATGTTTTTTATACAAAAAATACCCTGGTTCCCAGAACTTCTCAGACATTTTATGCAGTAGCCTAATCCTCTATTGGAAGATGATTGATGGTGTCCTGTAGATGTGCAATAAGGTTTTGAAATTTTCATTTTCACCCTAGGGGTCAAATGGGGATCGAAAATGATGTTGTTTGTACAAAGACACCTTGGTTCCAAGAACTCCTCTGATATTTTATGGAGTAGCATGATTATCTTTTGGAAGATAATTGGTGGTGTCCTGTAGATGTGCAATAAGGTTTTGAAATTTTCATCTTCACCCTGAGGGTTAAATGGGGGTCGAAAAATGATGTTTTTTATACAAAAAATACCCTGGTTCCCAGAACTTCTCAGACATTTTATGCAGTAGCCTAATCCTCTATTGGAAGATGATTGATGGTGTCCTGTAGATGTGCAATAAGGTTTTGAAATTTTCATTTTCACCCTAGGGGTCAAATGGGGATCGAAAATGATGTTTTTTGTACAAAGACACCCTGGTTCCAAAAACTCCTCTGATATTTTATGGAGAAGCCTAATCATCTTTTGGAAGATAATTGGTGGTGTCCTGTAGATGTGCAATAAGGTTTTGGAATTTTCATTTTCACCCTAGGGGTCAAATGGGGGTCGAAAAATGACGGGGTTTTTTTTTACAAAAAAGCCCTGGTTCTCAGAACTCCTCTTACATTTTATGCAGCAGCCTAGTCATTTTCACCCTAGGGGTGGAATGGGGGTCGAAAAATGACGGTTTTTTATGCAAAAAGTCCCTGGTTCCCTGAACTCCTCTTTCATTTTACACAGTAGCCTAATCATCTTTTGGGAGATAGTTGGTGGTGTCATGTAGATGTGCAGTAAGGTTTCAGAATTTTCATTTTCACCCTAGGGGTCGAATAGGGTTCGAAAAATGACATTTTTATGCAAAAAGCCCCTGATTCCCAGAACTCCTCTTACATTTTACACAGTAGCCTAAACATCTTTTGAAAGATGATTGGTGGTGTCTGTAGATGTGCAATAAGGTTTCGAAAATTTCATTTTCACCCTGGGGGTCAAACAAGGGTCGAAAAATGCTGGGGGGGTTTGCAGAAAGAGACCCTGATTCCGAGAACTCCTATGATATTTTATGCAGTAGCCTAATCATCTTTTGGAAGATACTTGGTGGTGTCGTGTAGATGTGCAATAAGGTTTTGGAATTTTCATTTTCACCCTAGGGGAGAAATGGGGGTCGAAAAATGACGTGTGTTTTTTTTTTACAAAAAGGCCTTGGTTCCCAGAAATCCTCTTACATTTTATGCAGCAGCCTAGTCATCTTTTTGTGTATGATTGGTGGTATCCTGTAGATGTAGAATAAGGTTTTCAGAATTTTCATCCTCACCCTAGGGGTCAAATGAGGGTCGAAAAATGATGTTTTTATATAAAAAATACCCTGGTTCCCAGAACTTCTCAGACATTTTATGCAGTAGCCTAATCCTCTATTGGAAGATGATCGGTGGTGTCCTGTAGATGTTGTATAAAGTTTGGAAATTTTCATTTTCGCCCTGGGGGTCAAATTGGGGTCAAAAAATGACGTATTTTTGTGCAAAGAGACCCTGATTCCCAGAACTCCTCTGATATTTTATGCAATAGCCTAATCATTTTTGGAAGATAATTGGTGTTGTCCTGTAGATGTGCAATAAAGCTTTGAAATTTTCATTTTCACTCTGGGGGTCAAAAAAGGGGGCGAGCAAACAATGATTTTTGAAGTCTTAATGTCAAAGATTTTATGAGTTATGGTTTGGTTTTCTTTTTTCTTAATTTGACCTTATATGAAGAAAGGGTCAAGGTAAAAAAAAATTGATGCAGCAAATCTTGTTTCAGTGTCTTCACACTTCTATCCATGTTCCAAATTTGAATTCATAATGTCAAAGGGTTCTCAGATTATGCTCTGAATTATATTTTCATGTAAAAGATTGACCTTGACTTTATAAATGGGTCAAAGTAAAAAGGTTTGTTGGCATGCACCCTTTCTCCATACAACCTCTCCATGTTCCAAGATTGAAGTTTTAATGTCAAAGGGTTCTTAAGTTATGGTTTGGAGGTATTTTTCTCAATTTGACCTTGAACAGAGAAAGGAGTAAAGGTCAAAATTTTGATGTAAATGTCTTCTTTCTATGTTACAAGTTTGAAATCCTAATGTCAAAAGGTTCTCAGGTTATAGCCTGGACTGTATTTTAATGTAAAGATTGACCTTGACCTTATCAAAAGGTCAAGGTCATAAATGTTTGGTGGCCTCAACCCTACCTCCATACCCCTCTTCATGTTCCAAGTTTGAAGTCTTAATGTCAAAGGGTTGTCGAGTTACGGCTAGGACAAAATTTTATTGAAGTAAATAGCTAACAAAATGTAGAATAGTATAGTCTACTTGTAGCATCAAAACTGTAGGAGGAGTAGAGTTTTGAAAGAAGAACAAATTTGTTTTTACATTATGTAATGAAACTTTCACATAAGATTCAACTTTTCTTGCCAAGTGGTTCTAGAGAAGAAGATTTTTGAAGATTTTTTTTCTTATGCAGTAAAACATGCTTATAGCCAATACGCTTATAATGAGTTGACGCTTACAGCGAAGCAATTTTCATTCCCCATGACTTTAAAATATATTGTAAACTTAATGGATATGAGCAATTACACTTACAACGAAACAAAATCATCCGTCCCAGACACTTATTTATAAGTGTGTTTTACTGTACATTCCCGAATTACAAAACTCTGATCCCCTATTGTGGCCCCACCCTACCCCTGAAGTTCTTGATTTGGACAGAGTTGAATCTACACTGAGTAATGAAGTTTCACTTAATTTTAAACTTTTTTGGCCTAGTGGTTCTTGAGAAGAAGATTTTTGAAATACAATTAAATTTTCACTCATTTTTATCTCCCCTTAAGTAGCATCCACAAGTCAATTTTTATATTTGATATTTACCACATGTATTATATACTGTCTTAAAGCATATGGAAAGTAAAAAAAGAAAATACAACTTTTTGGTTTTCTAGTCATACGTTGTTACTAAAAATAGACTGCAAAAAAGTAGTGCTTGTGCTGTTTTTGTGACCACTTTTTTTTCAAGGTAATTGGTTTTGAATGAACTGCAAATACTTTGCAAGTTTTGATCTTAAATCAAAATAATATAAGTTTGTTTGTAGCAGACACTTTGGTATGCCACCTTTAATTGTTTTTTATAGGTAATTTAAAATCCTCTACTACAATGTATCACAAGTGAAAAAGACGTATCATTGCGCCAACGTTGACGCTTACAAAAATGACGTCAAATTTCAAACTCTGTTTGAAAATGATCGGGATTCAGTTAGAAGTAAATTATCAATTTATGTACTCTAAGCTTGATTTGTGTGGGTGTGTGTGAGTGTGTGTGTGTGTGTGTGATTGAAGTCTTAAAATATTACCAAATTTTTCTCTGTATTGCTTGCTTACAGTGTTAGAAATTACACGTTTTAAATATATGGTACCTACCAGTACTCTCCGGCACTTGACATTTTTTATAAAAGCCGAAATTTCTTCTAATTGGTTTTTTTTTTTTTTTAGATTATTTATAACAAAAAACAAACATATAAGCACAAGCAATCAATGTAAAAATATGTAGTAATTTGATTTTCATGACCAATTTAAACCGATTTTAGAACTTTTAATAGATTTGACATGAGTTCCTTGTGTGTCA